GATGCCTCTGTCATTCCTCAGTAGAAAGAGAAGGCCGCATCAAGCCGAGTTGCATTGGCTCGGCCCCCTCGGATGGCTCTGGGCTCCGATTGCCGACACTGACCCTTGGCATGACTGATACTCTTGGCAGCATCCATGAGGTTCTCTGCCCCTGGCTGGACCTCTCCTGTCTCCTTTCCCGCAGTCGGCGATCGATTTGGATGGCCCAATCGATTAGGCCCTCAAAGGAGTCAGGGACTCCTATTCTTGCCAACTCGTCCTTCAGCGGTTCCGGCAGACCCAACGGGAATTGGTGGCGTAAGGCTGCGTCGTTCCATTGTGTATTTCCACTCCAGCGCCTGAACTCAGCAGCATAGTCCTCCGCAGCCCGGCATCCCTGTTGTAGGAAAAAGAGGGCTGCCTCAGCCGAGGCGGCTAGGTGCGGGTCGTCGTACAACTGTGCCATTGCTTTAAAGAAGGTGGCTACAGTGCTCAAATGTGGGTGGTAGGTCTCCATCAGGCAATGAGCCCATCCCTGGGGTTCACCCTGCAACAGGGATATAACAAACCCCACCTTCACCGATTCGGAAGAGAAGGTCTGGGGTTGCAGGTCAAAGTACAGCTGGCAGGAGTTTTGGAAGGCCTGAACTTCCCATGGTCCCCATTGAACCGTTCAGGGGTTGGTACTCTTGGTTCTGGCGGAGGAATGGTAAATGCGGCTCCAGTGAAAGACCCTGCTGAACCCGTGGCAGGAGGCGTTCCCACTGTGCCCGATGTTGTGGATGCCGGTGCGGCCAAGCTCTGAACCTGTCCGTCCAGGTGCTTGTATCCTTCTTCTAGGGTTTTCACCGCTCGTGTGAGTGCCGCCAGATGTTTGCACATCTCTTCCCAGGGTGAAGGTCCTCCTCCAGATTTGGACATGACCGTATGGTTCTGTCAGGGATCCTACAGCGGTAGCCTCTAGCACTCCACAGACTGGACTCCCCCAAGGCGCGGAATCTAAGCTCCGACCTGCTTGTTCACCAGGGCCCCTGATGGTGGGGATGGACTTGGAGCAGGCCGAGACCAGGTCGCGAGGTAGAAGCACCAGGTAGAAGCACCGTTGGAGGTGTATAGCAGGTGAGAGTCTGTTGGGAGGAGGTAACAAGAGCAGCGTCGGGCAGGCCGGGTCGGTAACGGGTGGCGGCGTAGTACAAAATCAGCAGGCAGAAGGATAAACAGGTCACAAGTCGGGTTTGTTAACAGGAGATCAGAACATGCAGGGTTAAGCAGGAGAATGGTCAGATGAGCCAGGGATCAGAGCAGGAGACAGACAGCAAATCAGGGTCAGGCAGGGTCGGCAACAAGGCAATCTAGCAATCAGGAACCCGGTAAGACCATACGGCAATTCAATGTAGTCCAAATCTGTTTTAAATAGGGTGCCCAGCGCCCTGATTGGTGCCAGGCCTGCGATTGCGCCGCTGCAATCGCGGGGTGCCCTGGTCCCATTGCTCACACACTAGTAGTGCGGCCGGGCACACCGCGCATGGGCAGACCTGCATGCGATCGCGGCAAACACTGGGGTCCCTGACAGTTGTGTTTCTTTCATTTGCGAATGATTGCACCAACTGTTGTCACCTTCTCACCAAGCTGCTTGGCGATAGTTTAGTAGCCCAGTCCAGCCTTGTGTAGGTATACAATCTTGTCCCTGACAGCTTTGGACTACTCTTTGTTTATTTGACTCTTTTTAAGCCATATAAGCTAAGAGTCCATCAAATTTGGCAAGTGTGGACTTTACCGGATGGTGATCATGGATGAATTTCCCTTGGCACTGTTTTATTATTTTCAAATAAGAAGTACTACTGTCAGGAAGGTCATGTTAGTATAGAAGATTGTGCAAGCATACAAACACCTGTGCGGAAGTGCAGGTTGCTTCATGTGGGGTTGCCACTAACCACGTGCTTGCAAAAGTGTTCATATCAGCATGCATTCTTCAGGGGTAGCTCGCCAATTTAAACTGGACAACTGCATGTGACCAGTGTTGACTTGTTTTCAACAATACTTGTGAATTCGTGACCTGCATTTTCCCAAACTATTACCTAATACTGACCTGGCTTGGTTAGATCCACGCATGCTCATCCATCTGCATCTTGACTATGCTTTAGAGCTGGTTTCTTCTGTTCCTATCAGCTCATGTGTTACCCACTCTGGCCTAATTTCTGACTTTTCTGCAGCAGTTTCCATACCTGATCCGCCTGTCCATTGCTGACCTGACTTCATAATAGTCTTGTGTACCTGCACCAAGACTACTCCTCTTTCTACAGCTTCACAGCCAGCACACCAGTCTGCTTACAAACCTATCACTTGGGTGTTTGTGGTGCTCCTCTGCCTACTGCTCCAGTGACCTGTGTTCTGCCAGCCATCTTCCCAGGAGGAATAGACAGTATGTTGCAGAGATGAATTGGGTAGGGCTGATAACAATCCTTGAGGTAAGACTGCAGCATGTACAGGACATCACTAGATTTCAGGCAGGAGTAGTAGGTATATTTTTCACTTTATGAACAGATATAATGCATTGGTTTCAATGATAAATTTAGCAGACCAAAACAGAACACAAGTCAATTGTTAGAATTTATATACACCTCAAGGATAAAAAAAAAAAAAAAAAAATTGCTGTTCTACGATGTGACATAATGCTACCTAAAGTCACAATCCTGCTCTTGATGTATTGAGCACACGCTATTTAACCTATGTTGACCTGTGAGGAACCTCTATTTTACAGAATGGGGTGATTCATTAAGAAAGCTGCTAAAAGAATGTTCTGTAGCTGCCCGTGTTATTGCTTTGTAACACTGCTAACAAAGTTCATTCTATCTTTCACAACAGTGTTAATTGAATCATCATTCTTAATAAAAAAGAAACACTGCAGCTGGTGGTACAGAGTGATTTTTGTCGTTTTAGTGATCAGTGAAATGTCACATTTTAGTATATACAGATACCAAGTTGCCTGGCTGTCCCTGGCTCCCACAAGAATGCCGGGACTTCTGATATGCAATATTGTTCCTGGACAATGGGTTTTCTTTATGGAGAAGCCAAAAGGTACTTCAGAATCTGTTAGCTCGTGGGGCATTTTCCATAATTTCACTCCCCAAGAAGCACCTATAATAGAGGCCATAGCACTGGGACAAACTGGAGACACCGGGTACATTATTTATGAATGGATGCTTTCTGCAGAATGTCATAGGGTGTTGACGTCCAATGTATTGAGCTTCCTTATCAGCATACACTAAGAAATATGGGTAATCATTAGACCATACTATATGGAAAATATATTGATGTTCCACAAAGCCCTCTAACCATTGCCAGTGTCACGGGGAAGCAATGTCTCCCTAAAATAAATTATTTCTACCAGTCACTATGTCCCTCATATAGCATTTTTTCTAGTACTATATTTTTTTATTGAAAATTTCCTTACAAGAGATTCATTAAGGTTTTAGTTTCAATAGAAAAAGGCAGTACATCTGCAAACGAAAAGCAATAACCTTGGAAATGTTGGAAGCCAGAGCATAGCAATAAGCGCCAGCAAATACCAACTATAAATGGATAACAGAGTGCAAATGTAGGGCTTACATAGACCCACAGTAGTATCCTAGTTAAGAGGAAGTTTTCTCTACACTGGCAATATTAAGCATCTCCAAAAGCGACTGCAAAAGGGAAAAAAAAAAAATATGGAGGGGGGGGGGGGGGTCGAGGGGAGAGCCAAACCTTGAGGTGTTGGGCATGCACATCTTCCAAAATTGAAGTGAGCTTCTCATGCATCATAGTGCCCATGAGACTCTTTTTATCATCGACTATGTTAAAAAAAAAAACGGTGGTCTCCAAGCCTGAGCATATTTTATTATTGCTTTCATAGATGGTGCTCACTTATTAATGATACAATGATTCCCCATTGGGCAGTGTCTGAAGCCAACCAAGTTACCATTTTTTCAGTGTATACACAAATTTATAAAAAGCTTTTTAAAACTAGCAAGATTTGAAATAAGATTTTTTTTATTTACTGTAAAATCTGCTAGCTGCTATATAGAGACCAGCTATGTCAGTGAGAAATCTTGATGTCACAGATGAAAGATGACAAAAGGCAAGGAAGGCTTGTGAAAAATAGACGTTTTTTTTCAGAACAGTGGAAGAAAAGGTGTCCAACCTCCAAGGACAAAAAATCCTGATGCAGCTGGGTGCTCCAGAGGGGGTTATAAGAGGATCGCTTACAATTTTTTCGGTTTGCAAGTATCCCAAACTCCTGTAGGTAGCAGTTTTTTTTTAAACTTTCAATGTCCCTCCATGAACAACAAATAAAAAGGTCCTTTTGTATAGGAAGACATATTTTAATAAGCTGGCTTCCTGCCTAATAATACCCGCCAAAAAGAATGCCACTATCAAGCCTCAACTGAAGCGGGAACATCACTGTTTTGATAGTCATAGGTAGTACTCAGGGTGGGCAACAGATCCAAAAACAAATGCTGCTGGAATTCTCACTAAACTCCATATAATCTAAAATATCACTTTTTGGTTGTCCAACTCTTTTGGTCATTTGTGAATTTCCTCAAAATAATGAAAGATGTCACTAAGTAGTTAATAAAAAAATGTTCTTTAATCCACTTGTTAGAATATAGACATAGGCGTATAGAAGAATCATGTGGATAGTGTAATACAAAGGTTCCAAGTAGTCAGTCCTATATTCATAAGGTCAATAGTACTGTTGTTCTTTATTCAAGTTTGTAATACTATTCCTCATAAAAATCAAGGCGTAGGTTGAAGGCAAAACTACTGTTGGCAGAAGCATTGAGTTCAATTCCATTTTCCTGTTTGACATGGAAAAATAGCAGCAAAATGTTCACACTGTAAGACACCACAAACGCATTGGGCATTCACCCGCTGAAGGAAAAATAAATAAAGTGCAGCATTGTGTAGTAGTAAATGTCACTAGTAGGAACACAGCCACACTAGTTCCTGTAGCGAAATTGGCTCAAGTGCTTAATGGTAATTTATTGTATATCCATCATCTTTGCATCGTCTTCCACTGTTGGTTTTGTATGGACAAAATGGTGCAGATCTGAATTCATCTGACAATATGGAACATTCTGTAATCAAAGATAAAAATAAGATAAACAAAAGCATATTCTACTCACCATTGCACTGAGAAAGATTTAACTAGCCCTCTTCAAGTATTTAGCATAGATGTGGCAACATGCAAGACAGTTCACATTCATATCTATAATGATCATAGGCTGTAAGCCCGGGCTTACACTGAATACGACTTTGAAATCTTCAAGTGAAGTCGCATGATTTCAAAGACACATGACAGTGTGACTTCAGGTGTGACTTGTAAGACATCTGTGCGACTTCATGCACAGATGTCTATGCAAGTTGCACCCAAAATCGCCAGAAGTAGTGCAGGAACTACTTTCAAAATCGATGCAACTCTCTCAGAGTTGCACTGATTAGAACGGTTCCATTGTGAACAATAAGTTGCGACTTGTCACTGCGAATTGAACTTTCAAATCACATAAGTCACATCGGTGTGAATGGGGGCTAATGCACATGCAGTTTGTGTACACTGAAATGTTTTGCAAAGTTGACCAGTGCAAGATGTGTAATATATCCTGTATTTGACAGAAGGGGGCCTGTATAAAACTTGAAAGAGATACCAAAATGTGTCTTTCAAGTGAACTCTAGGTTAGAGAGATTTTTACTTCTCATAAGAACATACTGACCTTTCTCTTTTATTTAAAGTGATATTAAACCCAAAACCAAATATATAATATATCCATAGGCTTTCTTCATTCTGTTTTCACCTGGTGATCTGGCCAATAACACACCCACTGTATTAGAGTGCCCCCACACCCAAACTCCTCTGCCAATTCTGCACATTACAGCACATGGTGCTGTTCTAATGGGAGCGTTTGCGTCACGTTGCAGCAAAACGGACACCTCTGGTCGAGTCAGGAGGCTTTGAAGCCTCCTATTCTCGTCTATGGTGCCGCTCCGCAAACGTGCGGTTGTGGGGCGTTTGTGGAGCGGTAACACTACTCAAACTGCATTATAAGCATTTGCGGGGCGTTATTAACGCTCGGCAAACGCCTAGCAACCGCCGCTAAACCGTGCATGCGGCGTTTGCGGAGTTTGCCAAGCGTTAAAAAACGCTCCGCAAACGCCGGACCAACGCTTGCCAAACGCTATAGGGCGTTTGGCAAGCGTTGGTAAAACAGCCAAGTGTGAACGAGCACTAAGTCTTGTGTTATATTTGTGTGGCCTTCCCTTTATGAATAATTGACAAATTAAAGGGCAGTCAAAACGCCCACTTGCTACTCATGTACGATCCATATGAATAACGTGAGACAGATATGCAGACATGCAAAATTAATAAAACAAAACAGCTTGGTGTAAGCATGGGACTTGGAGTATCACAGGAACAGTTGCAAAGACAGATTAAACATTTAAAGGCTTCTATATTATTCAAATGTTCGAGCAAACCTACACTAAACAAAAGTAAATAATCCCTGCAGGTATGAGCAATGGTAAGTCTTTATGGAATTTTTTCCACATTGAAAGGACTGGGCACTGTCATAATGAACAGTAATGCCAGGTAGGTATAGCTCTCCCTTATATTTGTTGATAGAAGGCTTCGTGCACACAGATACTCCAGTAGAGGCTGTTTTTTTTTTTTTTTTTTTTTTACTTCTACTCATAGAGGATGCAATGTTGTTCAGTTTACATATATGCATGGTAAAACATACCTGTGTATTAAAGCATGGTATACCAACTTGTTCAAATCCAGGAGAAAGATTATGTAGATTCACAGACCTCTGGGGCTCGGTGTGCATTCGAACTTTTGATTTAAATGCTTCAAGCTCACTTTTAAAAGCTTCAATGTACCCTTCTTCCTCTGTCTTTGAATGACAAGTAAAACAACAATTCAGTTCAGTTTTGGATACCAGTTCACAATGATGTTGTAAAACTTGAAAGTATGCAGAGAAAGACAACTAAGGGCTCAGAGGTACTCAGCGATGAGAAAAAAAAAAAAAAACTTAATTGTTGGGAGGAAGCCATTGAAAGGGGCATTTTCATCTTATGTTTCATACAGTAAAGTGATCAACTGCAGCTTTAGGATTTTCTTAGTGGGTTCCCGTTCACACTGATGTGAATTCCATGTGGATTTGATTTGATCTAAAAAGGCATAGATTCGCATGTCATCTAAAAAAACATTGTTTTCAATGAAGGTCGTTCACATCTATGCAGTGCATTTGTTTGATCCGGTTAAAAAAAAAGGTCCTTTGTGAGTTTAGTGCGGTACAAATTTAACCTCCACAGACCTTAATGGGAATCACAATCCTGTGTTCACATAAATGTGAATCCAGCATTTTTTTTCTGTAGACTTTACATATTTTCCTCCTCCTGCTCCTCCCCTCCTCTCCTGTGAATAGCAAGTTTTTAAGCCAACGGCCGCCACATCCTTAACAACTGAGAACTCATCAGCTGTCAGCTGAATGTAAACAAAAGAATACAGGCATTAAAAAAAAAAAAAGAAGAAGAACTGACAGACCCTTTGGCCCCACACCAAAATTGAAAAACAAAACCCACTGTGCTCCCCCCCCAATCCATACCAGACCCTTAGGGTGCAGACCTCTCTTTTTTTGGGGGGGGGGGGGCGGATGGCAGCGTTTATTGTTATAGACGCTTGATCTACACCAAGAGACTATTTTGTTTTCATAAAGGCCTTGCTAAAAACAGTTTTTACTTCCTTTTGCCACCTTTTTGGTGAATTAATAGAGGTACTATGTATCCCATACTCATTGGCATGGTAGCTTTCAGATTCTGATATGTCACCCCCGGCATCCCTACAGCCGCCAAGTCATGTGGGGAAGAGGCCCTGGTGCTCATTAACATGAAGACAAAGCACCCCCCCACCCATGTTGAGGGCATGTGGCCTGATATGGTTTGACGGGCTTGGGGGCACTTGCTCACTCCCTTGCCCCTTGTTTTATTTATTTTTTTAGTGCCGGAATTCCCTTTTGTTTACATTTAGCTGTCAGCAGGGAGTTATCGGTTATTGAGAACGCAATGCCCCTTGCTCCGTAACAACCAGCTATTCACTGGTTGTCAATGCGATTTCAGGGGATTGGGCACAGCTGTGATTTCTTAAAATTCACATTAGAATTGCACCCGTAAGACAGAAATCGCACTGTGAATTCACGCTGCACTTGCATAAAAAAACAGATAGGATATGCACTGCATCAGTGTGATCCTAGCCCAAGCGGCGACAAAGGAAATTAGTCAGCAACAGAAGACTTGGCCAGTTATTCTTTGGGCTTGTGTTAATGGCATTCGTTTGAGATGCTTAAGATATCATTCAGAATTCACTGACAGGTGCATTTGAGCTGCTTTAAGCAGGTTTAAGTGAACAAATGCCCATTGACTCAGGCTCATACATTTCTGCATTATGAATATTTGAGACCTCTGACCATCTGCTAACCTAACACGTTTTATAAAGAAGATGTTCTAACCGTCAGAATGATTATCACAGTATCTTAGTACCTACTTTAGCTTTCTGGAAAAACAGGCGGAAACATCCCCTTGGATCCACATTACTACTTCTTGCCATTTCAATGATAAACTGCATGACAACTGCTTGATGAGCAACTTGCTCCATGAGGGCATTCTTCTAAAAATACAAAAGAATAATGAAAGATAAGAAACCATGTAAGAATCTTAGTGAAGATCCTCTGTGGTAGCTCCTACACTAGGCCTGACATGTAGATGGCAGAGAGACAACCTTCTACAGCTGCTGCAACATTTTTCTAAAAAGATTCAGGGCTTACATACACTGGGGTATGGGCATATGTGAATTGTCACCTGCTTCCGATGACATTTCACTAGAGTGCAATAATGCAGCTCTACTATAGCTATTGGTAGCTCTACACTTCCATCTACAAAATAGTGTCTTCTGTACTAAGAGTTCTCAATCCAATTTTCCTTGATCTTTGTTACATCAGAATGTGTGTAACATAAATATTACACCATGCAACATATATCAAATACTGGATATGATAAGCATTTCACCATAGGCCATTTTTTGCATCCTATTTATCAGATATTCAGGGACACAGCTATAAAAACCCACTACATGTTCTAATCTCTTGCCACTCTAGCTAAAATGAAAATTACTCCTCTGGGACCCACAGCTGCTGTATACAACTGCCCATTAATATGAAATAGACAATTGTGCTTTATGTAATCCCAGGCGCACAACCATGTACACCTGCTTCTAAAGCAACCTTACAACTAGAAATAAAAACAGTGTTCTTAAATAACCCCTCATTAATCCTTAGTTTACTCGAACCAGCCCTAATTACCTACTTCTCCCTTTAGCTATTATTTTGCAGTTTCCAGTAAATTTTTTCAGTTATAACTGTTCTGTTCCTAAAAAGTGGAACTTCATTCTCTCAGTCAACACGGACTATTTAAAATCCTTATGTTGTTAGCAGTAGTAAATAGATTGGAAGGTACACCATAGTGCCAAAAGTATTGGGACACCTGCCTTTACACGCACATGAACTTTAATGGCATCCTAGTCTTAGTCCGTAGGGTTCAATATTGAGTTGGCTCACTCTTTGCAGCTATAACAGCTTCAACTCTTCTGGGAAGGCTGTCCACAAGGTTTAGGAGTGTGTCTATGGGAATGTTTGACCATTCTTGCAAAAGAGTATTTGTGAGGTCAGGCACTGATGTCGGACAAGAAGGCCTGGCTCACAGTCTCTGCTCTAATTCATCCCAAAAATGTTCCAATGAGTTGAGGTAAGGACTTTGTGCAGGCCAGTCAAGTTCCTCCACCCCAAACTCACTCATCCATGTCTTTATGGACCTTGCTTTGTGCACTGGTGCACAGTCATGTTGGAACAGGAAGGGGCCATCCCCAAACTGTTCCTACAAAGTTGGGAGCATGAAATTGTCTAAAATGTCTTGGTATGCTGACACCTTAAGAGTTCCCTTCACTGGAACAAAGGGGCAAAGTCCAACCCCTGAAAAACAACCCCACACCAAAATCCCCCTTCCACCAAACATTACACTTGGAGCAAAGCAGTTAGGCAAGTACCGTTCTCCTGGCAACCGACAGAGAAGCATGATTTGTCACTCCAGAGAGCACATCTCCACCGCTCTAGAGTCCAGCGGTGGCGTGCTTTACACTACTGCATCCAACGCTGGGCATTGCACTTGGTGATGTAAGGCTTGGATGCAGCTGCTTGGCCATGGAAACCCATTCCATGAACTTCTCTACGCACTGTTCTGCTAATCTGAAGGCCACATGAAGTTTGGAGGTCTTTAGCTATTGCAGACAGTAGGCAACTTCTGCGCACTGTGCGCTTCAGCATGCGCTGACCCCGCTCTGTTATTTTATGGACTACCCCTTGGTGGCTGAGTTGCTGTTGTTTCCAGTTGCTTCCATTTTGTTATAATACCACTAACAGCTGACTGTGGAATATTTAGTAGCAAGGAAATTTCACGGATGGACTTATTGTACAGATGGCAACTTATCATGGTACCACGCTTGTATTCACTGAGCTCCTGAGAGCGGCCTATTCTTTCACAAATGTTTGTAGAGGCAGTCTGCATACCTAGCTGCTTGATTTTATACACCTGTGGCCATGGAGGCGAATGGAACTCCTGAATCCAATGATTTGGAGGGATGTCCTAATACTTTTGGCAATATAGTATATATTATATTTACGTGTTTAAACTTTATTTTATTTCTTCAGTTACTTCCTGGTTTTTATATCTAGGCAAATGATGTCATACATCCAAGGAGTCTTCAGGAGGGGGAAGGGGGTTTCTCAGCTAAGCACACCCTCCTGCTTGCCTTGGGGGAGGGATTCCATAAAGTAAATGCTACATGAATCATCTGTCTTTACTCAAGATGGCCATGGCCAGGGGGGTGTTTTTCAAAGTGGTTTCCCAGCAAAATAAAGCATGGAGACATAGATGATGGATGAATTTTCTTTGAATATGAAAAATGAAATAAATAGCGTTTGTGGTGCTCAGATGCAGTTTAGTTCCACTTTAACCACTTCAAGACCGGACACTTTCACCCACTTCCTGGTGGGGCCATTTCTCAGATTTCATCACTGTCACACCTTGAATGACAATTACTCAGTCATGCAACACTGTACCCAAAAGAAATTGTTATAGTTTTTGAAACAGAACTTTCTTTTGGTGGTATTTAATTACAACTTTTTTTTTCATTTCTGCTATATAAACTAAAAAAAAGGCCAAAATGTTTGAGAAAAAAAAAGTTTTTCATAATCTTAAAAGTGTTTAAAAAAATTTGCAAATAATTTTTTTTTCATAAAAAGGTAGGCCAAAATATATCTTGCTACATTTCCTATGTAAAAAAATAACCCAAATCAGTGTATATTATTTAGTCTGTGGCAAAGTTAGAGAGTCTACAAGCTAGTCTTGAAGCCCTAAAATGCCATGACAGTACAAATACCCCCCAAATTTGGAAAGCAGATAGTCCAAGGCATTTAGTAAGAGGCACCGTGAGGAAGCTAATGAAGAAATTAAATAAAATGTGTTTTCTGTTGCTGGCATACACTAATCTGGTGACACTGGGACTGGTGTGGCTGCAGCCACTGAGTACTACAGTGATAGCTGTGATTAGCCACAGCTGTTACATGGTATAGGACCCTGTAACATGTGATTGCTGTGCCAATCACAGAGTTCACAGAATTAAACCATTTCATCATAAATGACAGCTTTTTACTACTGGTAATGTGATCGCTGTGATTGGTCACTGCAGCTTTGAACCTCGATCTGTGTTACATTTTTAATCTATAATAACACTATTACACATATTTATGTAGACGTGAATCTGACATTCACCAAAATTCACTTTAGGGAAATCTTCCACATGCATGTTCACCATCAGTATAATTCATATTCACTACTTTAGAAATTTAACACCAACACTAGTCCAACTAGAAAAAAAGCTAATTTTTTTCTGTATTGCCATCATTTTCCCCAATATATTGCATAGAAAATTAAATAATTTTTGTAAGACAATATTAATAACAGGAAGCCTTGTTTGTGCTGAAAAAACAAAAAAAAAAACCTATAAATATTTGTTATCTTAAGTAATGATGAATCATGTTTTGGTCCATAAGGAGTATAAGGTGTGAGAGATGAAATGGTTAAATGGGAGCTCTGTTTTTTCAAAAATGATTTAAAAGCCAAGTTTACCTTTAGCAATATGTTACACCCGTATTTAGGGTGTAAAATGTAACATGTTGCTAATCCCTTGTCCCCCTCACCCCAATTCCCCCACGTGACGGCAGGCAGGGATTCCTCTCTCCTGCAGTCACTGTCATATTTGTGTCCATGGCAGAAAGACTTGTAGTTCTCAATGGGCTACAAGCATGCTGATCAGTACCCTCGTAATTCATTGACACTTCCTGCAGGTCAGCAACTGTCTGTCCATACAGAGGTACAGGTAGAGAGCTGTATGAAGTACATGCAGGAGCCGACATTGCACCTGCGATCCACTGATCCCAGGTGCCATGCTCTGCAGTCTAATGAGAAGAAAAAACTAATAAGATACCATTTATTTAATAGCAAAAATATAAATGTATTTCCACAATGGTGAAATTAGCCTTTAACCGCTTCCCGTCTGTCCTATAGCAGAACTGCAACAGGGCGGCACGGTGCGCACGCGAGCCATTCGTTGCCTCAGCTGTCAATTATTGGGTCCCGGCCGGTGATCACTCGCCGGCACCCGGTGATCACTCTCCGACCGGCACCCGGTGATTGCTGTGCATCTCCAAAAGTTCTCGCCCCTGTAAGCTCCTGCCATGCAAAGCAGTGTGCTTACAGTGAAGCAAAAACACAGCCACACAGTTACAAACGACACACAATACACAGTTAACCCTTTGATTGCTCCTTATGTTAACGCCTTCCTGCGTAGTGCCCTTAGTACAGTATCAGGGCTTTTTATTAGCATTGATCACTGTATTGGTGTCACTGGGGATGTCAGGGACACCAAGTCAGTTCCCCCCAGTGTCAGAATGCTCGCCGCAGTCCTGCTATAAGTTGCAAATTGCTGCCATTACTAGTAAAAATAAAACATTTAAAAAATATCCCAGTATATATACTGTTATTTGTAAACGCTATAACTTTCACGTAAACCAATTAATTTACATGTATTGGGATTATTTTTTAGCAAAGACATGTAGCAGAATACATTTTGGCCTAAATTTATGACGAAATTTGATTTTTTACTTGACATTTTTAATATCAAAATGTCAAAAATGTTTTTTTTTTTTTTTTCAAAATTGTCAGTCTTTTTTTTTATAGCACAAAAACAAAAAAAAAAAAAAAAAACGCACAGGTAATCAATTACCACCGAAAGAAAGCTTTAGTTGCCGGAAAAAAAGGCCGTAAAGTTCATTTGGGTGCAGTGTTGCATGACCGCGCAATAGTCGGCTAAAATAATGCAACGCAGTAACGCAAAAATGGCCTCGTCAGGAAGGGGGTAAATCCTCTGCAGGCAAGTGGTTAAAGAATGCAAATACAGGACATCTGGGATGCTGTTCCATAGTAATGCACCATGCTTCTCTAGGCCCTGTTTTTCTCCAGCTTCACCAGGGGCTGATTTTTAAAAACTGGGGGAAAAGCTGCCTCAAAGCAAGCAAGATCATTTCTATTTTCAAAAATGAAAGTGAATGGTTCATTAGTTATTTCTCCTGCCTTCAATCTTTCTGATGCCTCCTATTAACATCTAGGGGCCCAACACTTTCCACTTGACAGCTGTAGGACTATGAAATCTATAAGTGTAAGGAAAGGGGGGATATAATATATTTAGGAATAAACAGAGGTCAGGCTACCCTCCTACTAAATAAAATCAGTAAAAAAACAGTTCTAACACAGACTGGCACTTACCTGTTCACTTTCTAAATGGTAACACCACAAAAGAAGGTATCTGGCAGTTTCATCACACACCAGGTCTGGGTATTCAGACAAGAACCACTGACTGTCATTCCATCTGCTGAGCATTCCTAAGGAGAAGTTATACAAACAAATGTAGACATACTGTTGGTTTGAATTTACCAGCAGAACGAATTGAACCAGGGACAATTATAGAAATTACAAAGGCTCCATTTTATTCAAACCTCCACACAGTTGTCCGAGCTGGCTTGGAGCATGCAGGGCAAAGCAACAACATTATAAAGAGGGAAACTTCATAAAGCTTTTAAAGTAACCAATAAAAAAACAAAGTCACTTAAACTAAATCAATGAAATGAAGCAGCAGACAAGCAAAGCAAAGCTAAGTACACATGTGTTGCTGGGGATAGGGACGTTGAAGCAAGCTCCAATGAAGCAATAAAGTTGATCTCATGTTACAATCTGACTTTACGATCTCTTTTAGCTTTACCAAGAACTGTGTAGTGAGAGGGTCTATCTAAATAATTCACTAAATCTATAGATTATTAGTAGGCAACGGACTACGCATCTTAGTATATCCTAATGACTGTACAATTAGATTTTCAAATATATAGACAACTTAAAAGATATATTACTCAAAGTGCAATAATCCACAACAACAAAAATATATACAGATAGTGCAGCGCTATATACAACTCTAAGTAAGTATGTATAATTCATAAGGTGCAGGAAATGAGTACATGAATCGATTAAATACAGACTAGGTGAATCTAGCAAAACATAAGCCCCTATATACTGGGCTATTAGCAAAAAATGGATATACTAATACCATACAGTCCCTTCTCGATCCTCATCTGAGGGATCATAAACAAGTGCAGAGAGTGTGTGTGTCCCTGAAAGGGATATGATACTAATAATACTCAGTGAACCATGCCAAAACACACTTCAAACACAGTGACGCAGCATTCCACTGCTATTAGTGTAAAAAATGCCACAAAAGTCCACGTTGATGCCACAAAATCACACTTCATGCAAGTGATATCCTTGTGTCCGTGCTGATATCATGCCAATCCTCAGTAGCTGGAGTGCCCCCTCACCTTACTGCCCAGGCCCCACAGGGCCAATGGGCCTTATGAATCACTTTGGTGGTCCTCCCAGGACTGGGTGGTCTCCTTAGTAGTGGTGGTGGTACTCTCTCCTCCTTTATTGGTACAGCCTCCAACCTCTACTGCCACTGATGTGTATATTGCTCTCCACATAAATCCCCAATAGTAAGACAGAGAATGGCCAACATAGTGTAAATCCGATTTATTTAACAAAACACAGTAAGTTAAAATGCCCACTCACTTTTCCGTAGTGACAATCAAGCTTTCACACCACATTATGGGTGTACTGCATGGATGAAGATGAACGGGTGCAACAAGATGGCGCCCGCGCCGGATCTGATGTCACCGCGCACCGGAAGCTCCTCCTACTAGCGTACCTACACGTTACGTCACGGTCTGTCACGTAACTTCTTCAGGATATAAGATATAAAGGTTGATCGTCACTACGGGAAAGTGAGTGGGCATTTTAACTTACTTTATTTTGTTAAATAAATCGGATTTCCACTTTGTTGGCCATTCTCTGTCTTACTATTGGAGATTTATGTGGAGAGCAATATACACATCAGTGGAGGTAGAGGTTGGAGGCTGTACCAATAAAGGAGGAGAGAGTACCACCACCACTACTACTAAGGAGACCACCCAGTCCTGGGAGGACCACCAGAGTGATTCATAAGGCCCATTGGCCCTGTGGGGCCTGGGCAGTAAGGTGAGGGGGCACTCCAGCTACTGAGGATTGGCATGATATCAGCACGGACACAAGGATATCACTTGCATGAAGTGTGATTTTGTGGCATCAACGTGGACATTTTGTGGCATTTTTTACACTAATAGCAGTGGAATGCTGAGTCACTGTGTTTGAAGTGTGTTTTGGCATGGTTCACTGAGTATTATTAGTATCATATTCCTTTCAGGGACACACACACTCTCTGCACTCGTTTATGATCCCTCAGATGAGGATAGAGAAGGGACAGTATGGTATTAGTATATCCATTTTGTGCTAATAGCCCAGTATATAGGGGCTTATGTTTTGCTAGACTCACCTAGTCTGTATTTAATCGATTCATGTACTCATTTCCTGCACCTTATGAATTATACATACTTAGAGTTGTATATAGCGCTGCACTATCTGTATATATTTTTGCTTATATCTTGTGCTGAGGCTGAGGCATTTGAGTGCTGGCTGCTTACTAATTACCCTATCCATATAAGTGCAGGAGGACCATACACATTTTATTAATCCACAACAACAAACTTTCAATTTTAGTAGCGGATGATGTATGCAAATATCAGCTTTTGCTGAAAAAAAGTTAAGATTGGCCCTCACCTCTTTCTTTTTTTCTATTGGTTTTATTATGACAGCTGGCCCCACTGACCAATATTGAACCCCAAGGGATACAATGAGGTGCAATCAAGCTCCACTAAGAGGAAAAGTCAAGAATTGCTTATAATATAGGAACTATATCTCTGGATCTACTTATTGTTTTGACAAGTAGTTTTCACCAAGGTAACCTGTGCTTACACATTTTGTTTAATAATGCTGGATCACCTAGGAGTGAGGACAGATACTAGATAAACACAGAGTAATAAAACCCCTAGCTTGAAAATCTATCATTAACATAAAACTTTTCTTCATACTTGTAATAATAATACAATACAGCACACCAATCATGTAAAAAATATACATAAATAATAGGCAATCTACATACCAAAATGTCGAATTTTATCTTCATATTTTTGTAGAAATGACAGTGATTGGTCTTCATCCTCGCTGGTTTTAGCTTGATTAATAAAGCTCTGTGTTTTAAAAGGAAATAATAGTAAGCAGTGTAAAATGGAAAAAGTTATGCCTGTACACAATGATACCCAATAATTTGGATAAATTAATGTAGACTGTCAGTCCTCCCTTGCATTCCCTCTCTTTTACTAATACAATAATCACCTATTTTTTTTACCATGAAAACAAAAATAACTTCAATTCAAAAAGATTTCTAAGATAAAAAAAAACAGTCATGCATACAGCTGCACACTTTAAAGTCTGTCCAGTCTTTTGAGTCCCTGTTAGACCTAGCTATTTTTAAAGAAATGCTAACACTCTTTCAGCAGTTAATACATATTGTGTTTGTTCATTTTTATAAAAAGTACACTGCTCAAAAGAACTACAGGAACACTTTTTAATCAGAGTATAGCATGAAGTCAATTAAACTCCTGGGATATTTATCTGGTCAGTTAAGTAGCAGAGGGGGGTCTTAATCAGTTTCAGCTGCTTTGGTGTTAATTAAATTAACAACAGGTGCACTAGATGGGCAACAATGAGACAACTCCCAAAACAAGAATGGTTTTACAGGTGGAGGCCACTGACATTTTTTTCCCTACTCATCTTTTCTGACTGTTTTTCGCTAGTTTGCACTAGTGTAAGAGTCACTACTGGTAGCATGAAGCGATACCTGGACTCTACAGAGGTTGCACAGGCAGTCCAACTCCGCCAGGATGGCACATCAATACATGCCATTGCAGAAGGTTTGCGGAGACTCCCAGCACAGTCTCAAGAGAATGGGAGGACATTCCAGGAAACAGGCAGTTACACTAGGAGAGCTGGACAGAGCTGTAGAAGGTCCTTAACCCATCAGCAGGACCGGTATCTGCTCCTTTGTGCAAGGAGGAACAGGATGAGCACTGCCAGAGCCTTACAAAATGACCTCCAGCAGGGCACTGGTGTGAATGTCTCTGACCAAACAATCAGAAACAGACTTCATGAGGGTGGCCTGAGGGCCCCACGTCCTCTAGTGGGCCCTGTGCTCACTGCCTGGCACCATAGAGCTTGTCTGGCATTTGCCATTGAACACCAGAATTGGCAGGTGTGCCACTAGCACCCTGTGCTTTTTACAGATGAGAGCAGGTTCACCCTGAGCACATGTGACAGATGAGGGTCTGGAGAAGCCATGGAGAATGCTATGCTGCCTGTAACATTCTTCAGCATGACCGTTTTGGTGGTGGGTCAGTGATGGTCTGGGGAGGCATATCCATGGGGGGACGCACAGACCTCTACATGCTAGACAATGGCACCCTGACTGCCATTAGGTATCGGAATGAAATCCTTGGAACCATTGTCAGACCCTACACTGGTACAGTGGGTCCTGGGTTCCTTCTGGTGCACGACAGTGCCCAGCCTCATGTGGCAAAAGTATACAGGCAGTTCCTGGAGGATGGAGGAATTGATACCATTGAATGGCCCCACGCTCGCTGACCTAAATCCAATAGAAAAGCTCTATGATATCATATTTCGGTCCATCCGACACCGCCAGGTTGCACCTCAGACTATCCAGCAGTTCAATGATGCCCTGGTCCAGATCTAGGAGGAAATACCCTAGGACACCATGTGTTGTCAGGCATGCATACAAGCATGTTGGGGCCATACAAACTACTGAGTACCATTCTGAGTTGCTGCAATGAAATTTCAGCAAAATGGACTAGCCTGCTGCATCATTTTATCACTTTGATTTTTGGGGTGTCTTTGAATTCAGTCCTCTGTAGGTTGATAATTTTCATTTCCATCAAATGATGGGGCATCCTTACATTCCTAACACATTACACAGTCCATATCAGTATAGATACCCAGTATTATATTTTTCCCTATTGAGATCTGATGTGTTTTCAAAGTGTTCCTTTAATTTTTTTGGAGCAGTGTATATATAATATGCATCTCAATACTGCTGATCTCCTGTAACCTCTTGGCATTTGATTCCTGTTTACATGCATGAACTCCAATAATGGCTAAATGGCTACCCATACATGTGTTTTCTTAATGGTGACAATATCAGGCCATGCCTCTGTTCGTGTTTTAGCATGGATGCTTTCAGTCTCAATTGGATGCTTGCAAGAGACAGCACAGGTGCTCAACTAGAAGGACAGAGCACTGTCACCTTGCATGGCAGGATCACCAAGTATTATTTTAATGAAAACTGCAGGTTTAAATTGACATTTGAATTACATCCTTACTAACATGTTAAAACTTGAGTGAAATTTTAGTGATTGAGTTTGCACAAACACATAAAAAACAAAAACCCTTTTGATGTGAGTCAATAAACCCCTCAGTTAGCTATCTGGATAGTACGTACGATCTGATGCTCTACAACTACTGGCATTCTTCAACTTGACAGAAAGCAACAATGCCCATTTTAGAATCCCAATTAGATAATTAGCAAATAGTTTGATTGTGATAAAGCCCTGAAGTGGAATCTGACCTTTACTGATAGGGTGTTAATTTTTGTTGATTAAAGTGATTCTAAAATGTAAATTTTTTTTTTTTTGCAAAATAACAAACATGTCTAATCTTACCTGCTGTGTGCAGTGGTTTTGCACAAAGCGGCCTGGATCCTCCTCTTCTCTGGTCCCCCACAGGCTCTTCTGCCTCCTCCTGTCTTTTGAGTGCCCCCAAGGAAGCAACCGATGCTCCGTGTGTCCATTCACACATGGAGCCGTGGCTTGGCCCCGCCCCTCTCTCCTCATTGGCTGACTGGCTATGATTGACAGCAGCAGGAGCCAATGGCTCCTGCTTGCTGTCTCAGCCAATGAGGAGGCAGAAACCTGTGACAGCCGAGGCTGTCGTGCATAACGCTGGATCTCGATACAGCTCATGTAAGTATTGAGGGGGCTGGGGGAGTTACTGTGCACAGAATGTTTTTTACCTTCATGCATAGAATGCATGAAGGTAAAAAACCTTGAGCCTTTACAACCGCTGTAAGTACTCCCATTTCTTTAGTAGTTGCCTTCTTAGGTTGGCATACTTAGCAATAGATTACAGTACCTTATTAAATACATCTTGACTAAAGGCATCCGAAGAAGACATTCCCCAGTTCTCACCCAGTGGCAGAGCTGCTTCCTTCCGCCTCCATTCTTCTTCACTACGTTGTAGTTCTGACAGTTCAGTTTGAGTTTTGGCATACTCTTGATCTATGGACTCAGAATTATGAAGTGCTAAACTGTTCAGTCTCTGCTGAGCCTCTGCCAGGCTCCACTTGCATGCCATGGTGCTCCTGCCACCCCCGTCTTGCTGTGGGCAAGGAAAGTCCATGCCGCGTGTGTATTTCTCTGCAAAAAAATGTATATGTGATTATAGATGCTAACACTGTACAGTCAATAATATATTTGTACCAAATAGAGGGGTGGACATATTAATATGGGGTTTAGGAGCCAGTCTGTCTGTTCAATACAAAAGCCAGTAGGCTTTTGGTTTTTCTTTGAGCCAGGTTTATTGACAGCATCTAGAGAAAACTTCAAAAGCTAGGCATTAGCTGTAATTTTAGGGAGCAATGGCTACCTGGGATTTGTCCAGTCCTGACCTAATATATGGACTTTTTTTAAACATTTTTTTTTTAAATTCTGTAAAATGTATGCTTCCTCTACCTCTCTTTCTGTTTCTGGAGCTCTGATATGAGGAAGCAAAGCCATGCTCCTCTACAAAGAAAGCCACCTCCACACATAGGAACAGGGCAGAGCAAGGCATGGTAAGTCAGAAATAAGAAAAGGATCTGGATGCAGATAGCCCACAAACAATACTGGTATTAACATGCCTTTATGGGGCGCAGTTTCCATAGTTCAGGTATTATTTAAAGAGGAAGGGGGAGAGAGATGGATCTACAGCCAGCAATGACAAAAAAAAAAAAAAAAAAAAAAAAAAAAAAAGGAAGCAATTTTAACAAACATCAACTGCTTGCTAAAAGCACGGGTGGAGCGTCCCTAATGACAGTGTTGCCAAAATGCGTAGGGAAGAGCTTGACGGCATGCAAAAGTGTGTGAAATGAATCCTGGGCTATGTATTTTAAGGCGCTTTATTATCACATGTGAGTGTTAAATCGATGGCTTTAATTCTGGTTTAAGCAGTTACAGATACATTTTTCCTTCTGGGATAAAGGTTTTACATAAATGAATAAAAGCTGACCATTGTAAGCACCCCTGCCAGTGGTAAATGGTTTGTCTCAATCCTCCTCAGTGGTGGTCAACTTTTTATTTTAAATGGAGGGCTCAAGTGTACCCACGACATCACTAAAGGGTTGCACATAAAATTCAGTGCATAATCGGTGTCAGAGACAACAGACGCACAACAGGATATAGTCAAAGGCTATGGGCATTAACCCATGAGATGGTTAGAGACTGTAGGCACAATACAAGAGATGGTCAGAAACTGCATATGTGGTAGAGGAGATAGAGACTGAAGACATAATGCAAGAGACTGTCAGAGACTGTGAGCACGCTATAGGAGTCACTGGAGACATTCTTCAGCAGACAGTCATAGACTGGAGACATATTGCATGAGACTGCTAGAAATCACTGCTATTAAATCAGGGAAAAACAAATTAGTGTCTGCAGGGAGCCAGAGGGCCAAACAAAAAATGCTGTATGCAGCCCCTGGGCTGCAGTTTGGGTACCAGGGCTCTAACTCCTACTTTGTCTGGACAGCTTGGGTTGTTAAAGGTTGCTGAAAAATAACAACAGACTTATTTGCCGGGTCACCAGGTGAAAATAATCTTTTGTTTGCTGAGCAATATTGCAGCTGAAGCTACCCATTCAAGTAAATGGGGCCATGCAGTTGTGGTAAGGCATTTACATTGTTAAAAGAGGTGCTGAGGAGGTGACATATCGCTTCCTCACTGCCTGTCAAATGCCTCTCTAAACCAATCTACCGCAGATCACTTATCAGAGAAGAGGCAAGGGCTGCTGGACGTCTAAATGTAGCCTTACATTACTTACCAAAGCTCCTGTAGACAAAGTAATGTGCTGTCAATCTACATATGACTGTGGGTGGAGCTAGGTGTGGCTATTCACCAATCGGGCTATCAGCACTGCCAACACTAGACCCTCCTATCCTTAACAGCCAAGAAAGCTGCCATCTTGGCCTGTGTTTGATGTGCACTTGCCATGGTGCTGCACATGTGATCAGTTTTGAAACATGCCATTTGATGACTTGACAGTTCAGGTGACAGCAGAAACAATTGTAACAGTTATCATTCCTGGCAGGCCTTGAATGTAACGGTTTTGGAAACCCATTAAATGTATCTGTTTAGTTCAGCTGTAAATCATCATGAGCTGGCAGGCTGTTTATTGCAGAAAAGGCATGCAAGTCCTCTTCTGCAATAAACTACACCTACTTGCCTAATCACAGCAACCCTTGGAATGTAAGTTGAGCTGCACATGTGTAGGGAGGAGCCTACGTGCTGATGTCACGCCTTCGCGTCTACGTGATGGTCCAGCGGCCATCTTTGTAAGTGCTTTTTATCCATTGATGATTTTATGCTCCACGTGGTTGCTATCTTTTTAATAAAACATACTACGCTATACAGTGGTGTATTTAGGTTTCATGCTGCCCTAGGCAACACAAAAATTGGCTCCCCTCCCCACGGAGATACCCTGACACCGACCAACACCCCCCTCCCCTACAAAGAGAGCCTGACATTGACCAACAACACCCCAGCCCCACTCCCACCCGAGAGAGCCTTCCACTACCACCGCCCCCCATACACTGACAACCCCACCCCACGACAACAGATAAGACACTCACCTTCACAGCTCCGGACATCCCCAGGATCAAGAATCAGGCTCTGCATACACCATCAAGCAGCCCGTAGCCTCTCTCAGATCCCACCTGGTCTCCATGCTGCATGTCCCTTCTTCATTTCCTTCTTTCAGGGGATGGTGCTACCCCCCTGAAAAATGCCACCCTAGGCAAATGCCTTGTTTGCCTTGTGATATAAATACACCCCTGACGCTATATGATATGGTCTTTGGGCTCGGTCTAAGAGCTTGCCCTCTAGGAACCCCTTTCCTTGGTTCACCGTGGAATGGAGATGGAGACTTGGCTACTCTACTTTTGATTGTTCATTTGGTGTATCACTGGCTTCTGGAGAGATCCCACCTTCATCCGGGTCACTGGCAGGAGGAACAAGCAGGAATACCTCTTGGTGTCATTCCGCTCTGGGCTTGCTTGCTACTTACTTCTAGCGAGTGCATTATGGTGGAGGTGCAGTACAGAAGTCACTACATTTTGTTGATTTACCGTTCATTTTGTTTCTTCATTGGAGTATTCAGAATTCCCTGTTTCTTTTTTATGATGTTTCCTTTCTTTTTTACAATCACACTGGACATCATTGTTTATAACACACATTTTTATTAGTGCTGCACATTTATTTTACAGTGACCTGCCTGACCCTGTGTGCCAGGATAACTAGATTCTGCACACATTCTCAGGTGTGATGTCACCCCGTGCCGGCCAATGAAGAAGCCTGAAAACTGGCACACAGGCGAAGATGCCGGTGCCAGAGGGACTCTTGAAAAGAGGAGTATCTCTGCCTTTAAAGTCGGTTCATACTATGAATTGCACAGGAACATGCTGTGCATTCCTGCGCAATTCACATGCGATTTTTACTAATCTTAAATGAGATGTATTGTTGTCTACGTGACACACAGCTGAGTAAAAGTCAGTAATACAGCACGGAGTACAGAACAGTAAAACAAAAGCAGAATTTGTTTCATTCAAGCGCAGTAATTTACTCACGTGTTTACCCTTTCACTTGTTTATGCAAGTATAAATGATTACATTACAATACTGGCAATAAAGAAGAATTTTACTCATCTATACATTTACACACCTTAAGGCCCCTTTTAAAAAGGTGTTTTCTTTGTCCATTTTTCATCCATCCGTTGATGAATGAAAAACAGACATCAACGCATATCTTTTGAAAAATATATGTAAACTGATAATCATCTGTTTACATCTGCATCCGTCAACATCCATTTTTTTAACTGAATCCAACCTCTATTTTTGTTTCGTTAAAAAACGGAACATACAAAAAATGGACAAACTGTCCGTTCTTGCATTAGTAGAGGATGCTAAAAAGTGATGTTAACTGAATCCGTTTTTTTTTTTTTCTTTTAAAGAACATGACTGAGCTGATGAAACAAATGGAATGAAACTTCTATGTAAAAGGACACTTGCTGGCCTATACCCAACATTACTCAGGTCTTTACATTCAGCTTTTGGCCCCTTGCACACGGGAGGAAACATAAGTAAATTATGACGCCCGTGTACAAGTGGCCTAAAAGTACGGCATGCACTACTTAAAAAAAGTGAACAGCAACCTGATTACATAGTAATACTGTACCGGTGCAGACAAATGCACTGCAACAGCAGTGCATTTTGAACACGTTCCTTGCAAATTTCCTCCAATGAGTACTGGTGTGAATGGGCCCTTAGTTTTGCGAAACTAACATTCAAGGCATGCAGTGAATAACTGTTACAGTTGTTAGTGTGATTATGTCAGCTCTCAACCAAACTGTCAGGCCATCAAATGGCTGGTGTCATATTATTATCATTATACAGTATTTATATAGCGCCAAAAGGTTTGCTCAGCGCTGTACATTATAGTGGGGGACAGTACATGAGACAATACAATAACAAAACAATACATGAGGGGTTCGAGGGCCCTGCTCTTTCGAGCTTACAATCTCATAGATGATCACTTGGGTAGCTCCATTGCAACTGCAGGTCAAACAGAGGCTTACATGGCTGTAAAGGAGAGGAGGGTTTAGTTCGGCTTTAGCTAGAGAAGCCACAATGGTGACAACACTGAAGTGATTTCACTGAAAAAGACAGAGGGTTGTCACCCTATTAACCGCTTTCCCACTGCCCTATAGCAGATATACTGCTACAGGGTGGCAGGGGTGCGTAAAATCACGAATATATACACGTGATTTTGCATATCCGGGTAAGGGCCTGCGCGCCCTACCCGTGCCACTATTTGCAGCCTCAGCTGTCAATCACTGGGTCTCGGCCAGTGATTACTCACCGGCACCTGGTGATTGAGGAGCATTACCAATGGAGGGAGGGAACTGTATGTAAACAATACAGTTCTCTTCCCTGTCAGCTCCTGCACACTGCTTTGCATAGCAGAGCCATGCAAAGCTGTATGCTTACAGTTGAAACCGCTAACACAGCCCACAATTAAACAGCACATGCCCCACATGTTAACCCCTTCCTGCCCAGTGTCATTAGTACAGTGCCAGTGCTTTTTATTAGCA